GTAATGCAAACACATGCCAGACGTTGAAGCTTAGGGAGGGTTTGCCTCACCGCTACCATAGTAGTCCTGGAAAACCGCGTCATAAGTCACTATAGGCCTCACTATCATGGTGTACATCCATCCAGACGTTTGCACACTATCATCGCTCTCGTAGCCTTAGAGGTGACCGAATCAACATCCAGTAATCTCTCTTACCTGCCTTCGGGATAAAGATAACCCTGGCCCTCTGTCACACCTTGGGAATGTGGGCCAGTGCTAGACTGTTCCTCATAATATCCACAAGATGTGGAAGTAGGAGCTCCCCGCCCTGCTTTAGCAACACCGGACATATACCATCCACCCCAGGGGCCTTGTACCGTTCGAAGGAGTCCAAAGCCCACCGCACTGTTTGGCGGTTTACAAGGCTTTTAGCCAGCTTCCAGTCCGGTGTCGATGGCCTGAACGCACGGAACATCGCTTCCCCGGCGGTTGGAATGGCGTCCGGAAAGTGGGACGACAGCAGGGCAGTACCTGAAAACGTCCCATTAGGTAGCCTAATAGCGAATCTGGTGCCTGTGTTGTCCCTTGCCAAAGCTTTATGAAGTCTAGCAGCTGCAGGAGTGGATGCGATGTTCTCACAAAAGGTCCTGAAGCCGCTACGCTTGGCTTTTCTAATCTCCTTATTGTACTTTGTCAGACTGACTGAGTATTCCTCCCAGTTCCCCGTGCACTTTGCCCTATTGAAAAGTCTGCGCACCTCCTTCCTAAGAACCGAGAGTTCCCGTGACCACCAGGGAGACTGAGCCTTCCGCTTAGGCTTTGACACGGGACAGCTGGACGCAAAGGCATCTAGAATAGCTCCGTTCAGCCTATTAACCCTGTCCTCTAACGCCATACAATCTACTTTTCTTTGCTGTACCTCTATCCTAGGTAGGTTCAGTCTAAGTACCTCTTCATATTTGACTCAGTCTGTTTTCCTGGGTTTCTCCTGGGGTAACCTCTCTGACAAACAGCTCCCAGTGCAAACCGGACAATCCTGTGATGCGACAGTGAGGGCTCAGATAAGACTGAACTCACCGGAGCTGGGGCCTGTGCCGGTTCTATTTGCTGGTTGGCTGGTACCTGCGCCGGTTCTGTCAGCA